TAAAGGATTCTATGATTCTATGATCAAGATTTAGTCTTGGTTCTCCTTGTTATTAAAAAAGTTGCTTGGCCCTTAAATTAATAAAAAGGCAGGAAAGGGGATGTCTTATTTTTTAAAAAGCAGAACCACCCTTACAGAACTGATTTTATTCATTCCAGTCAAAGGTATCCATCTCTTCCCACAGGAAATTAGCTTACTTTTCTTAGGATAGCTTGCCCTGGGAAGTTGGTACCATGCAAGTAAATAAATTGTAGACACTGGTCAGAGGCACATCTGAAAATATCGACTTATAACTTCATTAACAGTATCCTTAATGTAATTTTTAAAAGATATGTAAATTACCTGGTGCCCTCTGTATCTAGGTATTTATCCACTAAGCCATCTGACAGGCAGGTTGTGTCACCATAAGTACTGACTGAGCGACACGTAGAAACAAGGAGTAGCACTAACAGACACTTTGACTAAGTAATACAGAGAATGAAAGGATACCACAACTGCTTTATAAACTATAACTACTGTTCAAATGAATTTGCAGATCATGGAAAAAACCTTTGATACAGTACTGAAGCAGGAGGCCCTCTTCCAAGAGCAAAATAAAGAAAAACAAGCTCTTGTTTTGCAGCTGAACAAAGACATAGAACAACAGAAGCCAAAACTAGAAAGGGTTATAAAACAGGTTTGTATATTCATTAATGACAACTTCCAACTTTATAGTGGTAGGCAGTACTACGGTTAAAACCACAGAATTTAAGCTTAGCAGATTTCTGAAAGTGTTGCATTTTCATAGCAGCAATGCTTTAAAAATATTTGTGTTAAAAGTGTTCCAGACTCTCCAGAGAAATTCAGTCTCTGAAGGAAACTAAAACAGAAACACAGGAAGAAAGAGACATTGATCTTCGTGACCTGAAAAGCTTCAACAGAACCATTGACAAATTGTTAGCTGATGTTCTAGAAGGAAATCCTGATTTAATGACACCTTTTCATATGTACTTTCACCAGGTGAGCTTGCCAGTCAACTGCCACCAAAATCTTGATAGCTCTAGTCTGTTGAGGGGTGGCTTCCAAGGGCAACTCCTAAACTCAACAGTAAAGTGTACTTCTGGTAATACGTATTCATCTACTTTCAATATCTCTGCAAATGCAAATGATTATAAACCCTCCTGATAAACCCAGTTCTAGTATACAACCATTAGGCCAATGTTTTTTTTTTTCTTTCTAAATTTTCTAGTCCAATTTAGAGCTTCCTACAATTGGTTCTGCTGGTGGTAGTCAAAGTTCTCGATCACCATCCACACAAAGCTCACTAGCGTCTACCAGGTAAGTGCTAGCAATGTTTTTTTCTTTAAAAAAAAGTTGAAGTTTCAAACAGCAAAATTAGTCCTTGAATGACAGAATTCCTCATTCCTGAAGGTCTTCTCAGTCATGCCTCTACTTCCTGAACACTATAAAACTTTCTCCTTAAACTGTCCTTTAAGTTTACAGGATTTTTCTAGCACACAATTAAGTTTCTTTCAGCATCCATCAGTTTATAATAAAACTAATTACAGAATAACTACATTTATTTTTGTTTTCTGCTCCAATTAAAAAGTGGTTTCACATAATAAAAGCACAAATTTTGAGCTCTGGTCACACTCTGTGCTTGGTGGTGTGAGCTCCCTTTGCTCATTAAATAGGGAAGACAGACACATGCCTTTACTGCTCCCTTTTTCCCTTGTTCAGCATCCATCCAGCTGCATGTAACATGCTGAATCAGTGATGATCTGACATTCCCACAGGTTACTTAAGTGCTTAGTGGCAATGTTTACAAAGATCTTTGTAGAGGATCATATCTAAATGAACACTGCTGCTGGGTGGCTTTATGTAAACCACCACTAGCTGTTCTGTTTTAGATAGAGGGATTTCTGTATGCTGATCAGTACATTTTTGTCTTTCAGATCCTCCAGAAGCACAGGTTCAGGCTCTAGTCAAACTTCATTGCTCAAAGTCATAGATCTGAGCTTGCCTATCAACACTCCTGCAGAAGCAGCTGCTGTTGCATCACAGCCATCCAGCAGAGCCAGCACCTCTGATATTTGTAAACACAAAAAAAAGTCTTAAGTCGTTAAAGGCTTCACACTAGTTATGGCTTCTTAATTGATTAACCTGTAACTTATTTGTCAAGGTATACTGGCAGTCCTAAAACATGTACTTGATAGAAATTAATGCTACATTTCTTCTACAGTATGCAATAAATTATCTAAGAGAAATGTTAAGCATATGTTTTATTATATAAAATAACCTTTAAATTACTTACTCATTTTGCTCTTGAAGAACTAAAGAGCTGCAAAACCCTTCAGAAGCCATTAAGTCACTTTCCTTATAATGAAGAGTTATGTTAAAGCCATTGATGTTCATAAACCGGTATCCTCACTGCTGTCAAAACAATTTTAGGTGACATTGCAACAGCCCAGGAAAGATGTGTGTTTCAAGATCAACCTGGACTATCAATCAAAACAGTCATCTCGGATCATATTTTAATTGAAAGATGACAGTATATGGTACAAGTCAGTAAAACTATACTTTTAAAAGATTACAGATTACCTTTTTTTGCAACTGACCTGTATGTATAGAATTACTCAGAAAACTTGCTTTTATTAATCAGTCATCTTGAACCATATTTTAACTGAAAGATGACAGTATGTGATTAAATCAGTAAAACTATACTTTTTAAAATTGCAGATTACCTTTTTTGCAACTGCCCTGTACCTGTGGAATTACTCAGAAAACTTGTGGCTGCAGTACAGTTGCTGTGGTGGAGTCTGCCAGATGTTAGCTCCTTACCACGTTCTGCTGACACAGTTTTAAAACTCTCTCTTCTTCTACATCAGATGGGGTTTTTCTACATTACTTAGACAATGAGTTTGATGGATTTAAAGAATGTAATGGACTTGCCTTCACAGGCACAGGAAGATCCTATGACTTAAGGAGCAGCTACAACCAGTGCACCAGTATGAAACATCCCAGCAACATTAATAAAAACGAAGACACAAAATTAAGAAAAAATAAGAAAATTTAATAATTGAGTGAGCTATATACATTGATGGCACATGACTTTCATTCGGTTATCCCCTTTCTATAGCTGGAAGTTTGATACAAAAATATCAACAGTCAATAGTACCCCAAGGGATGAGAACACCAGACAAAACTCATTGGTGGTTAAAGTGCATATCTGATGTGAGTTACACTAACTAGAGTCCAGGGGTATCAAAGGATTTCAGCCCAGACAGAGAATATTGTACAGGAACATCCCAAATTAAGAGCACAGGAAACTTGGATTTTAAATAATAACTGGCATTTTATGTAAGATATCCTTGCATCAATTTTCACCAGAAAATCTCTAGGAATTCTGTAATGTTCTACAAGACAGAACAAATTCTGCCTGTCACTTCATATGCATTTCCTCATGAGATACTCAAAATTCATTGAACTACACTCACCAGAATAGTGATTTTTAGGTACTTTACTGTTTCTTCTGCTTACTTCCTTTTTCCCTCTCGAACTTCGCTATTTGATTGAATATGTTCACTAAGTTCTGGGGCAAGTTTCTTTTATCTCCACCTTCCGTTTGTGCTGTGTCACCTACGGACACTTCCTCGTCTGGTTCCTTGGCTTCATCAGACTCCTCAGAAGTTCTCCTGTTCCTACACTCGCTTTCACCTCTGTGCTGACTTGAGGCGTGCTTATCACTATCGTAACTTCTGTCACCTTCTCGGAAGCAGGTGCTAGAATATGATCTGTACTTCCCTATCGACTTGCCAGAATAGTCAGACCCTGACGGAGACATGTAATACCTGTCTGGACCCGAGCCATATCTCTTAAAGTGCTCTTTTCTCCCCTCTACATCCCTTTCTGCCCTCCTAAAATAATGCATCCTGGGTTTATCTGACCTATGGTATGAACCGTAAGAACCCCTCCAACTAGAGAAAAATCTGTCTGGTCTCCCATATTTTTCACTTTTGCTACTGCTGGGCAGAGTTCTGGAGCTACAATAAGAATCTCTCGAATCTTCAGACCTACCTCCAAAAATGTCTTCACCATCACCTGAAGTCCTCGAAACAGAACAGTGTCTGTCTTTCTCCTTTACCTCTGTTTTTGGACACACTAAGCTGTCCTGCCTTTCCAGCAGTTTTTCCACTTCAAAATTTTGGTTAAGAAAGGAAGCAGAGGTATCAGCTGGAGGCGAATACCACTCCTCTTTCCTGATCTGATCTTTATAATGGGAAGGAGCTCTAGATGAGCCTTTTTTGGAGCTGTGGGCAGACTCAGACCTATTGCGACGCTTTTTCCTACGTTTCTTGTGATCAGAGGAGGAGGAAGAAGAAACTGATACGTCTGATGAAGAATCACTTGATGATGACGAGGAAGAGGAGGTGGAGGAGGAGGAGGAAGTTGATACTTTCCTTTTCTTCTTCAACCTAAAAAAATGTAATTAACCTGTGAGATAATCTTCAGGATCAGGCAAAAATAATATGTAGAAAGCACGCGTGCGCTCCCCAGAGCTTGGCTAAGATTGGCCTGTAAGGCATGAATGGAAACTGAGCCTGACCTGGCAAAACAATTTCAAATGTCATTTCCCTATCAAAAAATTTAGATTAAATCCACTAAACAGTTTGCTATAAAAGGCAACTTTTCCCAGTTTAATATGGCATTACGCCTTGCAAATACTTCACGTTGCAAAGTTTTTTAAACATCTTCTCTTCCACAGACGTGTCCATTAAAGATTATATGCATTAAAGGATACTAAACACAAAAAGAATTCTGGAGGTAAAGCAGCTTACCCAGGTAGAAGTTCTACCTAGCTTACTGCTGGACAACCCGTGTGGAAATGGATTGTTCATAGTCTTATCTGCACTTATTGCCACGTCATGGGTATACTGAATAGAGCAGTGTTACCTTTTTTCTTCTTTTAAGAGCTTACGCAATTTTTGCGCACTTGTTTCTACTTTCTTTTCTTTCTGTCTCTCTTCTTTGGCAGCTTGTTTCTCCCTCATTTCCAAAGATTTCTTTTTTGAACCCAGGCGTCATAAAAAAGTTACATCGAAAGTGTTAACACCAGTATTTTTCCCCATGCCCCCAGCCCCATTCAAGCGTATAATTACACCAGGGATGTTTTACCAGGATTCCCAGATCAAAAATTAATATTGTTCAGGAGTTTGGCGTTAGCCATTGTGATAATCAAGTTTACATTAAGGACCATATTGCAGTTTTTATTCAATTAAAGTAATATATTTGACCAGCCATTGCCAGCAGTGCCCATGATCCAGCACACCGTGAAGCATGGAGCCCAAAAAGTATAGCCAGAAAAGGCAATAGAAACACGGTATTACCAGCATGAAGAAGGAAAAAAAAAAAAAAAAGAAATGTTTGAAGGGAAGTACCAGTATTGTGGTTTACAAGTAAAACATGGCAGAACCCATTTTAAAATATATTTGTTGGCCATGTTTCAATACAAACCGTGCCGTAACAATTTCACAGACCAGTTTGATGCATAGTTTATGTAAGAAACCATGTTCCAAGGTTTTGTCGGTGATGAGCAGCACCAGATGTCAGACACAGCAACAACGGTCCAGTTCAGAAGAAAATGCATTAGAGAAAAACACATAATCAGTATTACAGGAAAACCCACTCCCCTCTCAGCCTTTTTAGCACAACACAGAGTACTGGACTTTAATACATGTATTAAAGTACAGGTAAATGCAGACTAGCATCCCACCAGATGAATAATCCTTAAACTACTTAAGTCTGCTAGAGATCTTCTGCCATCTACTGCCTTAGAGAACAGTTCTAGTCATATTCAGTGATCAGAAAATCTGGCTATTGTTTTCAAAATTTAGCAACTGTCTTAACTGATATAAAGGAACCCCTTCACTGTAGTTAAGGCTATGCAAACCAACCAACAATAGAATTGTGGGTTTTATTTGTTGCACCAATTACCCATTATACCAAGAAAATGCTAAAGCAGAGGAAAATTTATTTCCAAGTTGATGAGAATGAAATTCTTAATCATTTTAACTGAGACTGACACTTCTTGCTAAAGCAACCAAATGTGTGGTATCTGAGCACTATCCACAGTAGTTTATCTGCAATGTAGTTCAGTTTTATTAAGAAGATTGTCCTATCTCCTCTTCCCCCTTCTTTCAACACAACCTGTCAGCATTATGGCTCCACCAACTGAAGAAATGTCAATTAGGGCCACCTACCCCAGTCTATGCACTTCCTTACATGCAGAAGCATAGACCAAAACAAGCCTGTTCCTCAGTGCTCTATTTTACTCTTTGATCATCTCTGGAAGATAGCACAAGCAAAGGAGGTAAATTAAAGACACGAGACAAGTTCAGATCAGCAGAGACCCACCAGGGCTCACCTGAGAAATTTGCTGCATGGAAGAAAAAAAAAAAAAAGAGGGGAAAAAAAACAGCAGAGAAGAAAGCTAAAGACATTCAAACTGCCTGCCCACCCACCCACCCTCCACCTCCTGCTGTTTTACTTTAAATCACTTAATTGTCCCTCTTCTGTAATCTTCCTGCGAGTTAGCTTTGGCTGGCATCACTCTATCTTTGCATAATTACTCCAAACAAGAAGGATCTGGCTGGTAAGATGATGAGCAGTGTTATGTGGCTTGCCCAAGTATTTCACACATCGCATGTTTGTATTCACAGAACGTTTTCATTCAACATCGTTTATTATGCTCGTGTCATGGGATATTCATATCCTTGCTTCAGCTGACAGGTTAACAGGCTTGGCTCTTTCCTGTCTCCACTGTTTGGCATTTCCTTACTATGCTATTCAAAATGGTGGAGTCAACAAGAGGTACCTTTCTTCTGGTAGGTACAGCCATAATGCTCACTGGGAAAGATTTACTGTGGAGAAGGGAAGCTGAGAATAAGACAAACTATCAACTTAAACACTCCCTGTTCAAAGGCCTTCGCATGATTTCTGATGTTCACTGATAGTCATCAAGAGCATTATATGAAGAGAAAGTAAAGAATCACCTGCATATGCTTACGGAGTTTCGTTAGGGCCTCTTCTGCTTCCTGAAAAGTCTCATCCAAACTTAAAGCTTTTTTATAGTAATTCTCAGCATTTAGCAGTTTGTCTTCCTCTTCTAACCTAAAATTCAAGTGATAATTAATATACAGTTAAGCCACAGGTTTCGACAGTTCTTGTTTTGCTTGTTATTTCTTATTTTTAGGACTTACTTATTTGCACCCTGACACTACCACTGCATCCCTCCAAGACTCTATACTAAGCCCATGTCAATAAAGAAATAAAATGGTATTTCTGACGTATTATCTTCTAATCATCACCAGTAATAGTAGTCATTGAAATTCCAACTCTGGTTTAAAAAGTTCTGTCTCTCTCTTTACACAGGGCTCAAAAGAATTATCTATTCCCTGAATATTCAAAAATAAAATAGCCTGTTGTAGCAGTTAAGTATTTCAGCAGAGTAACATCATTTTGTTAAAAATACTTTCCAAAACAACAACAGAACTTATTGGAATGCATTGAAAGATTTCACAAGACTTTATGCAAGCCCGGATATCCTTTCACTGGTAGGACACAAGGATTAAGGCTCAAATATTTTGCCAGAATTCTAACAAGGATAGAGGAGAAAGTGTAAACCAACTGAACACGCAGATGTGTTTCCAGCAAAGACTTTTTTTTTTTTTTTTAACATGTAACCAGGAAGGAAAGACACCGTTCTGTGTTCTAACTAGAATGGTACTAGAAAGGTACTAGAAAAATATTATGAGAAAAATTATTAACAACCAAGAAACCCACAACCGCCACACTTACTGCCCGCCTCGTTCCACAAGTGTCTGACAGAGGTATTTTCTGGCATTTCTATGAGTAGGACAGTTTTCCAAAGCAATTTCAAAATCATCTATGGCTTTGTTCAGACTTCCTTTTGTTGCATACCTATAACAGGAAAAAGTTGCACGCGTTTTAATGAGGTTTTTCTCTCCCAGAGTAGAAAAGCTAATGGCACAAGCAGACTTACAGAGCTCCACGTGCCACCAAGGCTTCGACGTTCTGTGGATCGATTTCCAAAGCCTTGTTGTACTCATTCATGGCTTCCACATGGCGCCCAACCTTAAAATAATCAACCCCAGCCTTCACACTGGAGAAAAATATTTAGAAAATAGTATGTGCAGTTAGCCTACACAGATCCCACACTGTTAATTACTCACAAATTATGGTTCCAAACAAGTGAGAGGAAATAAAATTTGACCTTGCTATCACGTACTTAACACCGGCGCTTCAAATTAATGCAATACTGAGATAATTCTGCAATGTGTTGTCCTTGTTTGAAAATCTGAAGCAACCAGACAACATTTCTCCAGACAGTGGTACTGCATTACACTGCTTTTTAATTCATATTTAAGCACTCTTCTGCACAAAACTATGTGTAAGCTACCACCATTAAACCTCAACAGGCTTCGTTACATTCACAGCTAAAAATCACCCTTAGAACACAAGGTGAGATGAACTGACAATACACACGGAAACCAGTTCATGTCAAACTTGAATATTTTGAGGTTTCCTGTTTCATATTACCTGAATCTATCTTCTACATTTCCCAAGAGAATAAAATTCTTGGAAGAGACCTGATGCGAGCTGAATTTCAGAACTTTTCATTAAAGACTTTTTTAAAACTAAAAATCTGTATTTAACATCACTATCAACTTTTTCTACAGTTAATCAAAGTTGCAAACCACTGGTTTTTTAAGAAAAAACACAGCTCTGTCTGCACAGAAACCAGAAATTCCGAGGGTTTGCTATGATGTAAATTCTTTTAGCTGATAGATTGAAGAGTTTTACATGAAAAAAAGCATTAATTTTTTAGAAGGAAACTTGCTTTTAGTTCTGCCTCCTCCACCCTGTAGCGTGCCCAAATACAACACACAGCACAAAAGCAATAGCACCCATCTGGAGCTGCTGTCCCAAATGCAGCCAGGGAAATACATTTCACTTTTCAAAGACAGCAAGTGCACTTCTTCAATCTACAGCGTGAGGCTCAAACGGCCTGACAAGCAGGATCAGGTCACTCAACGCTCAATTATAAAATAGAAGATTGTGTAATTGGTATTGTCACTCATCTTGCCTCATCTCAATGGGCCAGATGATAAATATTATAAGAAGTCCTCCCTTAAACCGGAATCTTGAGACTTTATCTCTGACATACTCACTTAGCAGTCAGCATTAGCATTCAAGAAGATCTTCCTGGTTACATCACTATATACATGGTGGAAAAACTGGTTCAATGTTTATTTTCTTCTACAAAATACAACCTGTAACCTAATAATAAGTTTGGATGAGAAAAAGTACTGCATACCATTTCAAGGCCCAAGACTCAGACTGCTTTTTCCTCAATGCAGGGGCAAAATCTTCTTCATTGAAATTTTTACTTTAGGGAAACAGACAAAAACATAAAGTTGGCCTTCTGGGTCTACAAAACCAAACTTACAACAAGTAATGCAGTTCAAATAAGCCAAAATATTTATACAATAGCTTGCTAACCTCCCTCAGACTGGAAAGTTCTATTTCTGAAACCATTTTTTTCTCAACCTGTTAAAAAATGCTCACCTTAACTAGTACAGCTGCAGTACATTTAACAAAAATATACCATATTCACACCTGCTTTGAGGTCTAACATGTACAGGGCTCACAATATCAGTAACTGCATGTCTGAGCCCATTTTACTGAAGAGATCAGATCTGTTACTAAAATAAACATCTTAAATATTTAACAGAAAACATTAAAACTTAAACACCCAGCATTTCAATCCACAGATGCTGACAAGATCTAAGCAATAAATTCCTAAAGTATTTTGTTTCAAACAGTGTGTGTGATAAGGTGTCTTGCTTAGTCAGAGCAACAGAATTTCAAATGTAAATTTCTTACTCTAAAAGTTTGCTTTTAAATATTTAAGGGTATGTAAGCTGCAGACATGCAAATCAAAATGAGAAAGGTTTAAGTATGAGTGGCCTAGGACTTCCACTCACAAATCTATTTCAGTGGATTAGAATAATCTCCACAAAGCTACAGGATATGGACAATGCAAAAATCACTTACATTTGGAGACTTCTCATCAAAGACGGGGGATTCGATTCACTGAGTCCCAGTTTCTCTGCCAAATACTCAACTAGTGATGGATTAGCGAATCCTGGGGAACGATGCAAAACCTCTTCAAATGTCTCTCCTGTGTTAGCAACTTCCACGCTCCTCCTTAAAGAAAGCACCAACGTACACAAACGCCACCTCACAGGCAATGGACTCAACTGTAGGATGCTTATATTCAGAATAAAAATGCCTATCTGGATTTTTATTACAGTTCACGTGGTTCTCTTTCACAGGCATGTTTTCCTATTATTTATCAACCCTTACACCCTTTAGCCTAAATGAGCTTTTGAAACCTATTTTGGCACTCATCTAGATGTCAACAGGACATGCAAAAACCACACAAAAACTGCAGAGACAGGTGTCTCTTTCTGTCTTCTAAGGGGAATTTTACAATTGGAAGAATTTCATATTCCAGTCTCCTAGGTTTTTTGTTTGCTGGTGGTTTTGGTTTTGTTTGCTTTGGTTGGTGGTTTTGTGTTTTTTTTTTTTTTTTTTTTTTTTTTTTTTTTTAATTTGCTAACAGTCCCACAATGGCACCTCACTCTGTTTTTTTGCCTTCCTTTTTAAGAAAAGTGCTAAAAGATCAAAGATCAACCACATCTGACATATCCAGAAACAAGTATGAGTTACAAGTTAAATAAATAAAAACCAAAACAAGTTAAAATGATGAACAACAAAGTATGTAACCATACAATTAAATCGGAAATACCACCAACAAGTTTAACAACAGTTTGTTAAAGGTGCTCTTCAGACACACTGATCACCCAGCAAGAACATCTGAATAACACATCCTTACTTATAGTGCAGTGGGAAGTCATCAGAGGTAATTACACCCAGTTTTGTACTGGAAAGACTGGGCGGAAGAGCTGAGCTGTAAAGTGACACTGTGAGCTTCTCATGGTAACGATCGATGTCCTTGACTGCACCTACAGAAATAACACAAGTTAGGATAAAGTTATCAAAATGTCTCAGAACAAACCAAACAGATTCCTTACAACTTCGGCAGCTACTTGCCTCGAATAAGGTCTCCAGATTGATAATAAGATAAAGGATCTCCATGGTTGCTTTGAGGAGGAACATCTCTCAAAGGACACAGAGCCTGCAACAGAAAAAAAGTCTAAATACCACAAACAGCCAAAGTATGTTTTTTTCTCCCTAAAATTAAACCAGAAGAATACCATAATCTTAATGCACATCAGATCTGGTATAGTTAAAAGCACAGCTTAGTTCAAATAAAAATGTATGTATCCATAAATGACAAACTTTTAAACTCAAAAGTAACAAATACTATCAGTCATAAAAAGAAATATTTGCTGACTCAGGAAAGCATAAGCTGTCCACAGATTGAGATTCCACCCATCACCCTGAAGTTCAGTTTAACCTCTGCACACAGGAGCCCATCCAGAGATACAAAAGGCAACTAATACATTAAAAAGTTATTACTTATCAAGGAAAAAAAAAATTATCAAAATTATATCTTACGCTGATTTCCAAATCTGAAATCTGCCGTATGACACCACTTCCCAGGCAAATCAACACCATAAAAAAGCCAAATTCACGAATAGAAGTAATCCTCCCAATCACGATATCGCCGCGTTCGATGTCGCGAAAAAACAGCTCCCTCCTCGCTTCCCTGGGAACGTCCATGAACTGCTCCAGGGGCGGCATGACGGCGTAACACTCTGCAACGCAGGAGACGTGCGCGGTTACTGAGCGGCCAAGCTACAGCCCAAAGGCACAGAATACCTCACAACGGCACAGCACGTTAGAGCCCGACTGACGTGCCCTAGCAGGAAGTCTGTGCACAGCCTATAAAAAGCAAGATTAAGTTTTCACTGTGTTTTTCAGCAATACTGCTGATTTCACCGCCGTGCTCCCACAGTAGCCCGCGGGCGTTGCCGGGGGTCCCCCGGCCGGGGAAGCCCGTGGGCAGCCTTACCTTCATCTTCCTCAATCGTGTCCGAGATGGGCCCGTTGGGTTTCCACGAGTGAGCAAAAAGCAGATCGGCTTTTTTAGCAATGAAGCGCTTGATCTCGGTGTCAATGCTCGTCCTCTCTTTCCTGAGGGAAGGAGAGCCCTGTGAGAA